TATGTATTTTAAGGTTTTTTTCTTTCATGCATGTGTTTCTAATGCATTTATAAGATTATCTCTTTGTTGCTTTGTATGTTCCTCCCCCACAGTATAACCCCTGCTTTCACTATATTTGATGTCAGTATAACTTATGGAGGAAATGGGGGAAAACAATTCGTTTAAGGATACAGGTGGACCTGTTGCAACCATGAGAAGTACAAGTTGTCATGTCGAAAACGAGCTTTACAATGTTGGTGTGTGTGTAGGGAAGGATTGGGACTGGGGGGGGAGGGGGAAGGCTGGGAAGGGATGTGAAGGGTAAACCAAAGGAGGAGGCTGCAATGTTTGGTAAGAAATGTACGCATTATCCTGCCCATGTAATTGTAAGCCCTCTGTATCTTCACAAATAAAATAAAATAATAAAAAAATAAACAAAAAAATTTGAGTAAAGTGTAATATACATACATACATTTATATGTGTATGTATATTATATATGTATATGTATTTTACACGTATATGTATATAGATGTGTATATATACGTGCATATATATATCTATATATATATATGGAGAGAGGAGATAGTGGAAGAGAGAAGGAGAGGGAGAGGAAAGGAAAAAGAAGAGGAGAGAGAGAAGGAGAAAAAGAGAGAGGCATTTTGTAGGCTTCTAGTGTAGTCTTCTGACATTGTTTCTACCTGAGAGAAGAATGCAAACACTGAAATGATCTAATTTTAGTTGGCTCCTGGCATCTCCTTTCTCCTCCTTTTAATGGATGATGACTTAAAAAAAATTGGAGTGGCTGGATTCTCTGGTAATTTCTTTGCAAGCTCTGTCTGAAGAGCCAATTCACGCACACATTTCCGTGAAGCCACTGGCTGGCTTCTTACTGGGTAATTCCCTTTGTGGACTAGTGGTTCATTCTTTCCCCAGACCTTTTGATAATTAGCAGTTCATGCTTTGTGTCATTATTGGTTTACCTCTAGTTAGGGTAACAAGCCTTTTCTCCTGTTCTGTGCACTGTTTCTCCTGTGAATTTGTTTTTTTTTTTAAATAAATGAGTTTATTTTTGCCTCTCTTTTATATTATAAAGATAGTACCTATTTTTTCCTTGATTGAGTTTGAACGAAATCTAATGGCTATTAGATTATACTATTTAAATGCACACAGATTTATTTTAGCTGTAATTGCCTAGATAACCAACTGTAACATTTACTTAGAACTTGGAAAAATCTTAAGTATGACATTTAATTATTGAATCATTTTCTGATTCCTATCTATATCCTTTGCCACTTGTTCTGTGTTAAAAATCCACTTAAAAATTCTATGTTTTACATCTGAATCAAATATCAGTATATTTAAACATTATTCCAAGTAGATCTATGGAATAAAATATCCTATTTTCTTTTTAACAGTTTTATTCTTTTGGCTTTTTTTTTTTGGTTGTACTGGGTAGTTTGAACCCAGGGCCTTGTACTTCTAAGCCAGTACTCTACCACTAGAGCTACTTCCCCAACCCTTTTTGCTTTGATTATTTTGCTTGGGTCTGGCCTGAACCACAATCATTCTATGTACATTTACTACCTTACTGAGATGATGACAGGCATGAGCCTCCATACCTAGCTTTGTTTGAGATGAAGTCTTCAGAATTTTTTTTTTTTTGCCACTTCTGGGGCTTGAACCCAGGGCGTGGGCACTGTCCTGAGCAGCTTTTGCGCAAGACTAGAGTTCTACCATTTGAGCCATAGCACCACTTCTGGCTTTTTCTGCATTTGTGGTACTGAGGAATTGAACCCAGGGCTTCGTGCATGCTAGGCAAGCACTCTACCACTGAGCCACCTTCCCAGACCAGATGTTTTTGTTTGAGCAATACTAGAACCTTGATCCTCCCAATCTGTTTCCTGAGTAATTAGGATTGCAGGAGTAAGCCACTATGTCAGTTAGACTTTTACTTTGAAGTAAGACCTAGATAACTAAAATTTTATTCCCAAGTAGTGTTTAAAATTGTTAACATTTTATATTGAGTAACCTACTTAGACTTTTCTGGTTTGTTGTTGTTACAGACTTTATAGAATTATTAATCACTGTTATATACCTAGCCTCAGATATTGCTTTACCATAAACACTCACATCATTTTTCTGATTTAAATTGTCTTTGACAAGAAACTTTTTGCAGACTCCATATTTTCTAAGAAACACTGAAAGAGCTGAACAACTTGCTAAAAATGGATAGTAATGAGAACACCTGAAGTTTACCCCTTACTAAATCTGAAGACTCCCTAGAAGGAGCTGTCCTTTTGGATTTAGACTTTCAAGGATGCAACTTAGTTGAAAAGATATATGGGAGGATGTAATGGTTAACACAGAAAGGTAAAGAGTTGGGCAGTTCCAAGGAGCTCTCAGCTGCTGTGAGCTGAGGATCCCCAGGGCTGAGCTGATTTGCAGGTACCTGTGGATGCGAATGTGGATGTGAGGCAGCCTGATGGATAAAAGTACTCATGATGTCTCAGAGATTCATAATAGTACATGTTTTTATTCCTAGGAATTGGTGATGACACACGAACTTGGGGGCCACCTTTTGTGGACACAGAAAGTACATATTTTCTCAGTGTTAATAGAAATAAAAAAGTAAGGATGTTTTTCTTTTTGCTTTACTCATGTAATTTTATTGCATAATAACCAAACTTTTGATATCGTGGCTTATTATTGTTTTTGTATATGTACCTAGTATTTCAAATATTCATTCACCAAGTGTCAAGGTTTCTCCCAATCTTCCTTCTCTACTAAGTAATTTAAAACATGAGAATTATAATAGAAATTATTTTGTGGAAGGGAAATAATTTGATTAATTACAATTGTTACCCTTTTAAAGAATGCCAATTGCCTAACACTTGGAATTAACATTGAAAAACATTCATTGTAATCCTCATCATGCTAATATATCCTAGCTATAAATAAAATCAATAATGATTAAATATTTCCTCATGAGCAAGATAAGCTTGCTTTAAAGGGAGAGACTAACATATGAATGGCACTCTTACTGAGCTACCACTAGTAAAGCACTTATAATAATATTTTTAATGTGTCTATTTTTATTTTTAGAGCATAGCTGTTAATATCAAAGATCCACAAGGGGTGAAAATCATCAAAGAGGTAAGGTATTCTTTACAGAAGGCATTTGACTGCTGAGGTTGTAATTAAGGATCTGAACATTAGAATGAAAGTGTAAAAAGACTTTCCTTTAAGGACAGTCTACGGACTTTTGTTATAAATTCCATCCAACAATGTAGGTTGACCTTTTTAAGTAAATATACTGTGTTCAAAGCTCATCTGCATGGAAAAATCCTTGTCTCTATATCTTTATTAACCAGCAAAAAGCTGGACTGAAGCTGTGGCTCAAGTGGTAGAGCACCAGTGATAAGTAAAAAAGATGAGCAAGAGATTGAGGCTCTAAGTTCAAGCTCCAGTATTTGCCATGTGTGCATCCATGCACACACACATACACACACAAACACATACACACATGAAGAATATGTGACAGAATGTATGTGGCTTGGAAAGCCTAAAATATTTATTATTTGATCTTTTTTGTTTTTTGTTCGTTATGGGGCTTGAACTCTGGGCCTAGGTGCTGTCCCTCAGCTCTTCAGCTCAAGGCTAGCATTCTACCATGTGAGCCAAGCACCACGTCTGGCTTTTTCTGCTAATGTGGTGCTGAGGAGTCGAACCCAGGGCCTCATGCATTCAAGGCAAGCACTCTACCACTGAGCCACCTTCCCAGCCCACCACTATCTGATCTTTGAAAGAAAATTTTTGCCCACTCTCAGTTTACAGTATTATTTTGTTTGTGTGTGTATGTGTGTGTGTGTGAGTGAGTGAGTGTGTGCGCGCATACATCTAAATCTGTTGATAATGCCAATGACATTTTAATTAATTAGCTAACATATTTATTTATTTGCAGTGCTAGAGAATGAACCCAGGACCTTGTGTGTGCTAGGCAAGCTCTCTACCACTGATCCATACCCTAAGCTTAAATTATTGACTAGTGTCCAAAGATGCTTTTCCTATGTTTTATGTACTTACTGTCTAATTATTCTACCCATTCTTGTGGCACTACATTTGTATGGACAATTTAGCCTGAACGTTTCTTGGACTTGGAGGGAGAACAATCTAGGAATACGATGTTTTCACAAAACAAATTAATAGCTATTATTTTAATGATAATAAAGGCTTTAGTTAACTGGGACTTTTATGTTTAACTAAATTTATTTCATCTCCTGTGACTTTTCTGGCTTCTTATAAAGTCAGAATTCATTATGTATATTGAAATTACAATTCTATCATGTGTGTGAAAAGTTGTTTAAAGTTTGAAAGTCTCTTAAGAAGTCTGACACTTTATTTAGCGTGGGGGTATGTACTGAGGCTTGGACTCAAGGCCTTGTGCTCTCACTTGGCTTTTTTGGTCAAGCTGGTATTCTTCCACCTAATCCAAATCTCTATTTCTGGCTTTTGCTGGTTAGTTTGAGATGACAGTCTAGGATTTGTCTGCCCAGGCTGGCTTTGAATCCCAATCCTCATATCTTAGCCTCCTAAGTAACTAGGATAGCAGATGTGAACCATACCTCCCAGCTAGTCTGATTCATCTTTACTTCTTCTTTCAGCTTGCAGCTGTTTGTGATGTATTTGTGGAAAACTATGTTCCTGGAAAACTGTCCGCAATGGGCCTGGGCTATGAAGATGTAGACAAGATTGCTCCTCATATTGTGTACTGTTCTATCACAGGTATTTCTTTCAAGTCCGCTACTCAGCAGTACCAAGCTTTTCCAGTCTCTGCCTTTGCTTGCTCTTTAAGAAACCTTTTGCTGGTATTGGCTTTCTTCAAGTGATTCCACTTTGCTTCTTTCCAAGCTTTTTAGATTACTAAATAATAACTATTCTAGGAAACATTAACCTATACAAACAGGAGTCATATATTTATTGGCTACTTGTGTTTTTTCTTTGAGTTATCTGCCAAGAGGTTTTTTTTTTTTTTTTTTTTTTACCAAGAGTTATCTCTGAAGTATCTGCCAAGAGTTATTGATATTGGACAAGTAGTTACAAAATACTATTACTAACATAGGGGAATTACAAGTGAAATATTATCTTTAAGACATTGTGGAAACTTAAAACATCTCAAGACATTAGTGAGTGTCAAGCCAAGCCAAGGGAGAGAAAGGAGGGATGTGAGGCCTACTGATTGTTCAGCTTGGGTCAGAGGATCATTTGTGTGTATACGAATGTATGTATATGTGTATATGTGTGTATGTGAGTGTGTGTGTGTGTGTGTGTGTGTGAAATGTCATAGTGCTACTTAGTTTTGTATATTTTATTTAAAATAACTTAATTAGGGATGTAATGTAGTAATTTAAGTAACTTAAAATAGGAAATTCTAGGGCTTAGAGGCATGGCTCAGGTTTTAGGGTGCTTGGCAATGAGAATAAAGTGTCAGATAGCAAGTTCAAGTCTCAGTCTTATATTAAAAAAAAAGAAAAATAGGAAATTCTGTTTACGGTCAAAAGAATTAATAATATTTTCAGTTTTGTTTTTTTTGGCCAGTCTTGGGGCTTGAATTCAGGGCCTAGGCACTGTCCTTAAGCTTCTTTTGTTCAAGGTTAGTGTTCTACCACTGGAGCCACAGCACTACTTCCAGCTTTTTTTTTTAGCAGTTTATTAGAGATAAGGGTCATATGGACTTTCCTGCCCAGGCTGGCTTTGAACCACAATCCTTAGATTTCAACCTCCTGAGAAACTAGTATTATAGGTGTGAGACACTGTCACCTGGATATATTTTCAGTTTTTATCAATTCATCTACCAACCCCCCTGTGATGTGCCAGATAGTATTCTGTGATTATGATAACAGGAAGGAATGAAATACATCTGTGCACTCAGATTCACATTCTAGGATATGTGTGGATATGTATACACATAAAAATATATGTATATGGATGTATGTGTGTATATACACACATACACACATATACATTCATAATTTTTATACTGGGGCTTGAACTAAGGCCTTGTGCCCTGGTTTAGCTTTTTCACTCAGGGTTGGTACCCTACCACTTGAGCCATGTCTCCACTTTTGGCTTTTTGTTGTTTAATTGAAGATAAGAGTTTCAGGGATTTTTTTCTGCTCAGGGTGGCTTTAAACCTAGATTTCAGTTTTCAGCCTCCTGAATAGTATTACAGGTGTGAGCCATTGGCACTAGATTCTCTCTCTCTCTCTCTCTCTCTCTCTCTCTCTCATATATTTATATATGTCTATAGATATCTCTATATATCTATTCATAGATAGATATAGCATTTCTAATTGTTTTAAAAATCTGTGTATATGGTACTGAGAAATCGAACCCAGGGCTTCATGCATGCTAGGCAAGCACTTTACCAACTAAGCCACATTCCCAGCCCTCATAGATATAGATCTAGATAGATATACCTAGATCTATCTATCTATCTATCTAATCTATTTCTCTTTCAATATCAGGGCTTGAACTCAGAACTTCAATCTTGCTCAGATTTCTTGGTTTTGTCAGCTTACTCACAACTGGCACTGTAGTATTTGAACCAGGCTTCCAGCCCATCTTTGTACTAGTTTATGGGAGATTTTCTGTCTGGTTTGGCTTTGGTCAATGATCTTCTAGATCTTAGCCTCCTGAGTAACTAGGATGACAGGTATGAGCTTCCAGCCCTGAAATATGTATATGACACAGAGAAAAGCTACAGAAGAAAATAAAGAAGTGTGAGGAAGGCTACTACTTCATACTAGATATTGAGAAGGCTTCATAGAGCAGGTGACACGAGCAGAGATTCAACAAAGTTAAGCAGTGAAGCATATAGATATTGGCAAAGGGGTTTCAGACAATAAGCAGTAAGCACAAAGGACCTGAGGCAAGAATGTGATGAGTGAGACTGGGGACCAGCACTGCTGGTGTGGCTGAAGTTGTGAGAGCAAGGAGGATAAGGAAAAACCCAGGGAGTTGAAGGTTATGAAGTCCATAAAAGGTGCATGGGCTACTCATAAGGAGTTTGCCTTTACTCAAGTAAGATTGCAAACTGCAGAGGGTTTTGAGTAAATGATACAATCTGATACTTTATATTACTACTACTATTACTATTACTACTACTACTGCTGCTATTATTTGGCAGCACTGAGATTTTAACTCAGGGCTTTGTGCTTGCTAGGCATGTGCTCTACCATCTGAACCACATTCCCAACACTGATCTGACTGATTTTTAAAGGGTTTCTCTAGCCCTGGGCTGCAAATAGGATGGTAGAGGATAAAGGTGGAAGTAATGCACAATTACAGAGCTGTTGAGCTATTCCAGGCTAGAGATGATGGTGGGCTTGAGTTAGAGTAATGGTGGTGCAGGTAATTGAAGGGCGAGAATGTTCCCACTGTATTTTCCAAATAAAGAGATAGGATCTACAGATGAGCCTCAGAGGAAAGAGTTGAGTTAGGATGATGTTAGAAGAAGAGATTACTATTTCCTGACATGAGAATCCTGGGGAGGGACACTTTGTGGATTAAATGTCGAGTCAGGTTTTGGATATGTCTTACTTGAGATGGCTACTAGATTTCAAGTGGAGAAGCAGTGAAAGGGTTTGGAGCTAAGAATCAAGAAAATGAGATAGCTGCAAGCAAATATGAAGCCTAAGTGAGATCCTCTGAGAGGGACTTTGGCTAGAGAGGCCATGGGGCTGAGCTCAATGCAGACTAGATGTTTAGACATAGCAAGAAGGAGAATTGAAAAGCAACTGTCTATGAAGTGGGGAAACCTCCTAGAAGTTAATTTTCCTAGACAGTTTTAGCTTAAACCTGTAGATAGTTTAAACAAGACAGAGCTGGGTGCCAGTGGCTCAGGCCTGTAGTCCTGGCTACTCAGGAGGCTGAGATCTGAGGGTTGAGGTTTGAAGCCAGCCAGTGTAGGAAGGTCTGTGAGACTCTTATCTCCAATAAACTACTCAGAAAGGGCTAGAAATGGTGCTGTAGCTCAAGTGGTAGAGATCTAGCCTTGAGCCAAAGAAGCTCAGGGACAGTGTCTAGTCCCTGAGTTCAAGCTCCAGGACCAGTGTGCACCTTGTTTCAGTAGTGTTTGGACAAACAAAAATTAAAGGCCAAAATAAGATTTCACTTTATACCCACGAGGTTGACAAGCATTTAGAAGGTTCCATGTCCAAGAGTATAGATTTCCAGGAGGGTAAAATGCATTTATCATATCATCCAGACAAATAAAATATTCATCTACTTGGTAAAATGCATTTATCATATCATTCAGACAAATAAAATATTCATCCACTTGGGAACTGTCACATTCCCTACAGGTTCACATATGAAATGAGCTGTAATACGGATCAGAGTTTTCGGGACATTCACTTACGATTAGAGAATTGTTAGTTTCTTGTAGCTCTCACATTCTATATTTTAATGCATCAAAGAGCATTAGAGGAGGGGGGCTGGGAAAATGGCTTAGTGGTAGAATGCTTGCCTTGCATGCATGAAGCCATGGGTTTGATTCCTTAGTACCATATGAGCAGAAAAAGCTGGAAGTGGTACTGTGGCTCAAGTGGTAGAGCACTAGCCTTGAGCTGAAGAACTGAGGACAGCGCCCAAGCCCAGAGTTCAGGTCCATGACCGACAAAAGAAAAAAAAAAGAGCACTAGGGGAAGATTATCTGATTCAACAGTTTTTAGCTAACTGGTGAGTGATTATATGGTTCTCAGTGGTAGGGATGGGAGAAGGAGGAGGTGATGGATAGAATGTCTGAAATGGCATCTTTCAATAGTCCCCCCTTTCCTGACAGTCCTTAGAATCACATCTGTTACAGCTTATTATTATTATTATTATGTCAGTTATGAGGCTTGAACTTCGTGCCTGAGCACTATCCCTCAGCTCTTCAGTTCAAGGCTTGAGCCACAGTGCCACTTCCCATTTTCTGGTGGTTTACTGGAGGTAAGAGTTTCAGGGCTTTTTTTGCCCACAGTAGCTTTGAGCCGTGATCCTCAGATCTCAGCCTCTTAAGTAGTAGGATTTACAGGTGTGAACCACTGGTGCCTGGCTCATTATTCTTTATTTCTTGATAAGGAAACAGGTCCAGAATGGCTAAGGGGCCTGAGATCTCACAGCTCTTTAATAGCAGGTAGATTTAAATTCAGGCTTTTCAATTTAATGTTAAGTGACTCAAAGCTTTCCATTCTCAGACATATCATTGTGAAGTGTTGATGTGGATTTTGTGATTATAGGACACTGCTCTACTTGAGAATTATTTTTGTCATCCTCTTTCATTTGCTGTTAATCACATGTGCAAAGATGGGAGTCATAAACAAATTTGCTAATCAGGAAGTCTAAATTTCAGCCGATTCTCTGAAAGCAACAGTTATTTATGAATTGTGACATTATGTGGTTATAAAGCACAGCTCATCTCTTTTGTAGAAGGTTGGCATTTTTAATTTTAATTAAAATTAAAAATTTTAATTTTACATGGTGGCCTTTTACTGATGAGAGTAATGTTAGAATGGCTGTGAGATTTACTTTAATGCATTCTGACAGTGCTGTGGTTGAAATTGTGTCAATTATGAAAGCTAGTCTGATTTCAGAGGAGGAGGGACCTCAGTTATTTGTTTTTAAAATTTGTATCCTTATCCTCTCAGAGGAGGCTGGGCACACACGCACGTTAGGGGGCAGTGTTTAGAAAGCTATCATTCTCTAGGAGCCACTGAGGGAACAGCAATGATGCTGTGAGC